TACAATCATATGGAATTGTAACAATATGCGACACAATCATATAGAATTGTAACAATATGCGAGGGCTGTCCCCCCAGGGTCTAAAGGGTCATTCATACGTAAGAAATGTTAAAAACTTACCAATACAGCGAATATAATTATACACTAGTAATAAATATTAAAATATACACTAAACAAGGACCTATCTGATCCCAATGACTAATAATAGAAATTAATAAAAATTCTTGCTAAAAAGTACGTCCGCCTAAGTTGAAGGTTTCCCGCGCTTTTTCATACCATCATGGATTTTTTTTTATTCCTTTATAGCCTGCACGGTTTGTGCGTCAGCCACATACAAATGTAAAGGTAGGGAAACAGGATAAAAAAAAGGAACGGAATTTTTAGGAAAGGATCAGGTAAGTATTTACATATTTACAGTTTAATATTATGTTTAAGGATAAAATTTGAAATACATAAATAAATATCATATTTCATAGAATATAGCAAAGTATTTATAGAAGTCGGGAGAGGAGTACGAAGGGATGTTAAGGAGTCAATAAAAGAGGAACAGTCATTTAAGGAGCAGACAAAAAAAAAATGGTTTAAATCGCCAATATCAGCGCCGCAATTACACTTACTGCTATTAACTATTCCTAATCTGGCCAGATGAGAAGGAGTGCAAACATGACCCAGTCTCATCCGAGTTATGATAGAGGTCGTTATCTTGCTAAATCTAAAATTATAAAACCAAGGCTTTGTAGGAATGAAAGTTTGAATTTGTGAGTAATGCTTTCCTTTATTTTTTCTAGAAACAGACCATACTTGTTCCCAAGATTCACGTAGATCCGAATTAGGAAGACCTAAAAGATCATTAATAAAGTTTTTGTATGGAAAAATATCTCCACAATCCACAGCATCATTGGCAAGTTTATCAGCAATTTCATTGCCAGAAATACCTATATGACTAGGTATCCAGGCAAAAACTACATCGAAACCTTTTAAATGGCATTGCCAGAGCAATTTTCTACAATCTATGATTACAGGATAATTGGTATATTTAAAAGGAAACTTTTGAAGTGCTTGAAGCGCGCTTTTAGAATCAGAAAATATAACAGATTTATGCAATTTCATCAGATAAATATATTCTAAAGCTTTAAATAATCCGTAGCATTCACCAGTAAAAACAGAAGTTTCAGGTGGTAGTTTAATTTTTTGGACAATTTTTGATTGTTGATGATAAACTCCAACACCAACGAGGCCTGAGGAAGAGTTTTTAGATGCATCGCTATAAATGTAATGTCGATCTGGCCAGTCTCTATCTATGATTATATTAAAATCAACATTTGCAGAATAAATGGATCGAGATATATCTAAAGTAAAATATATTTTAGGAACAAGAGTTAAAGCTTCATAGTCTGCAGAAAAAATAGATAGACGTTGAGAGATGTGAGTAGAGGAATGCAGAGAGGAAAATTTACGAAAACTTACAATTAAACAAGGTAGTGACTTAAGCCTCCAGTAAGAAGATGTTGTTACTATATATGAAAAAGTAGATAATTTGGAATGAAGGGGTGCTTAGCAAATTGCAAAGCACGGAACAAAAACTTGTCAGAAAGATATTGACGACGGAGTCGCAGAGGAGGGTCGACACATTCCACTTGTAAAGCATTGATAGGGCTAGATTTCATTGCTCCGGCTATTAAGCGAAGAGCTTTAGACTGTATCCCATCAAGCTTTTTAAGCCCAACAGCATTACATGGCTCAAGAAAGTAACTTCCATAGTCTAAAATACTTCGTAAAAGAGCATTGTAAATAAGTTTCAAAGTATATGGGTGTCCACCCCACCAAACACCTGTTAAGCATCTCATGATATTTAAAACTCGTTCACATCGAGCTGTAACATAATAGCAGTGAGATAAACCTGATAATTTAGCGTCTAAAATAACTCCTAAAAATTTTGTTTCGTTTTGTACCGGGATAGGTTTATTGTCGAAACATACGGAAACAGAAGGGGGCAGACGCATCCTAGAAAATAACACTACGCAGCTTTTTAAAACGGAGAGATTAAGAGTGTTAAAATCTAGCCAAATTTTAAGTTTGGACAGTGCTCTACTTAAAATATTACTTATTTCTAAAATTGATCGTCCCGAAACATATACAACTAAATCATCTGCATATTGTAATACCGACACATTGTTACAATCACTATTTGAATTTTGAATGGCTTTATCTAGGTCATGTGTATAAATATTATACAAGATAGGGCTTATGACACATCCCTGAGGTAAACCCTTCCATAAAGTTCTAGATTTATACTTTGAATCGCCCGTATCAATTGTAATCACTCTACCAGACAAATAATTAATTATAAAATTAGTGATTAAAAGAGGAACTTTTAGGTTTAGGAGTTTCAGCTTTAATACGTGCGTCATAGGCAGAATTTATATCTAAGAAAGCTGCAAGTGTTGATTCATTGTTACTAAATGATAATCTTATATCGGTAGTAAATATACCAAGACTATCCATAGTACTTCGTCCCTTTCTAAAACCGTATTGGTTCGGAGCAAGAAATTCATGAGTTTCAACAAACCATTCTAATCGATTTTTTATTAGATGTTCGGTTGATTTAGCAAGAACGGATGAGAGGGCTATTGGTCTGTATGAATTAGCATCAGAAGGAGGCTTATTTGGTTTTAAAATAGGAATTACTTCTTGTAATTTCCACGAAGTAGGAATATTGCCAGAAATCATAATGGAATTAATTAATTCTAAAAAATAAAGAAGGCTAGAATCGTTTAAATGAGAGATAAAAGAATATGGTATACCGTCAGTTCCTGGAGCAGAATCTTTAACGTAGGCTAAAACACCTTTCAGCTTTGCAAAGCTAAAAGGAGGATTTTAGCCAGAGGTAACCTAACCCTATTAGATGTCCGATTGATGCAAAAATAAGATAGCTTTGACTAAAAAGTCCGCTTAAAGTTACTGAGATCCATGAACTATTAAATAATCATGGAAAATGCATCTATGTACCGAGAAGGAGCATTCTAGCATGATAATAGAAACAGTACCTTTCTACAAGATCAGCTTTTCTGCCTTGCACAGATACTCCTCTTCTTTTCAACTCTGTTTACAGCTGTATTACAGACGGGTTGCTTTCCAATTACAGAGCATAATGCGACTCAGTGCCGAACAAATGCCGAATTATGCTGATGCTTAAGCCCGTCACAGACGTAGCTATAATATATATTAATATATCGAAATATATATTATATTATAGCTAACTACCACAGACGGGAGCTATACTATAATATATATTTTGCCCTCACTCGGTCTGCGGTCGTTTTTGCAAGCGCACGGTTTTAAAGCTTATTTTCTAGCACAGGGTGTTTTAATTTTGAAATAACGTTATAATCGATCTTACCGAAATGAATTCGACAAGAGCACTACTTTTAGATTTAATTGAAAGTTCCTCAGAGGATGATCCCGATGCTGAATTTGATATGAATGTTGCCTTGTCAGGAACGAAAAATAGAAGTTGAACATTCCGTATTATACTAATATGCCAAAATATATCCCGTCACAGACGTAGCTATATATATTTATATATCGAGATATTATATTATACAAACTACCACAGACGGGAGCTGTACTATCTATACTTCTATACTAATATTAAAAAGATGCAGAGTTTGTTTGTTTGTTTGAACGCGCTAATCTCTGGAACTACTGGTCCGATTTGAATGATTCTTTCAGTGTTGGGTATTCCATTTATCGAGGAAGGCTATAGGCTATATTTTTTTCTTTCAAAATTAGGGAACCGTAATATTGCGCTTGCTTGCATATTTTATCTCAGTATTTCCACGGAAACGAGAAAAACGCGGGTGAAACCGCGGGACACGGCTATAATATATATTTTGGCAGGCGTTCGGTGAAAAATGAAACATACCGTATCATAAAAATATATCAAAATATATATTAATATATCAAAATATATATTAATATACCAAAATATACACTAATATGCCAAAATATATCTGTCGACATATTTTGGTGACGTCATAGAAATATATATTATAGCTGCGTGTGCGGTCACTCGAAAATTTATATTGAAAATATGTTGTAATATGTCTTGCTATGATTCATATTAATATATATTATAGCTACGTCTGTGACGGGCTTCAATTGGAACGTGAATTAGTTTTCAAATGCACCAGCAGAGTGCGCTAAGTTCAGTGTTGAACAAAAAAGTCAATGTTTGTACCTTCATCCATACATAGATTTATTTTTTAACAGTTTGAATTAACTTTGATTGTTTAAAAAAACTATTTAATGAAACGAAAGCTTTAATAATTTTTCAACAATAAATAATATTACTACCATGATATTAAAAACAACAAAAAAACACGTTTCAAATTTGACAGCTACAGTTGTTCAGTTGTTCGCTGTGGTTTTGGCCAAGCGTTTGCAGCGCCATCTGCGTTGAGCTTTGCGTGTACAGCGTCGACTCCTGACGTCATTAGCACTGGCCAGTATACTGGTATATATTACGGAATACACCCTACGTCTGTGCCTAAATAGTTTTTTGGCCGAAATGGAGAAATTCACGGCCGTAAAACTTAAAAAAAAAGTTAAAAGTTTTTGGCGGGATTTCATCGAGTGTGGTTGGCGTCTATTTTGATTATTCTTAAATTCATTCATAGTGGATTTTGTGTAATAAAATTTTGTGTCACAACTGTCTGCGTTACTGAAGAATTAATAGAATCGTCAAAATATACGCTATTCCGGTCAAGTGGACGTGAGAATTTTATTGTAGTATTGACTACCTCACAGAAGCTTATCGAGAAAGTCAGCTCTATACATTTCGTGCCAAACACTTCAAGAAACATTAGAATGCGTCACACCGACATTCTAATGTAAAAAGAAAAACAGAATAATTTAACTTAAGACTAGGCTGTATGGGCATTATTCCCCTTGCCTTCCCTGAAAAGGGAGAACTTAAGTAAAAAAAAATGTTTTGACTATTGTTGTCAAAAGTTGGATAAAGTTACGGTGTTTGTAGTCTCGTTTTCTCTGGGATGATGGTGAATAAATAATGAAATGATTAAAACATCCGGTGAAACATGAAGACTACTGTTCAAGATAAATGAATTATGCATGTGCATTATGATTTACAAGTGGTCGGAATAGGGGACGTGTTTGTTCCACAGGACTGATTAATAAAGTAAAATTACACTAAATTTGATAATAATAAGACGGCCTCCAGTTTCCTGTCGGACGTATACAGAAGCTCCTGCATAAAAGCAACTACGCGAACCGTGTCGATGCCGGCGCCCCCTTTTAAGATGAATTTTACATATTCAAAAGTTATGGTTAGAATGCTGTCTTTTGCTCAGACTATTCCTCGTGTTGGAATTGTAGGAGCTGGTACAGCAGGCTTTTATGCAGCCATGCATTTATCTAAAAATGTCACCAACATTCAAATAGATATATTTGAAAAGCTTCCTGTGCCTTTTGGATTGGTAAGGTACCTACATAACATAATTTTTATCATTTTGTATTATAGAGTAATTTATTTATTTATGACTAATAAAACATATGAACTTAAACATACACCCTACGTCATACCTACGTCATACATACCTACAGCCAAACATTCTTCTAAGTAAGCAAATTAATATCTATGATTTTATTTATTTTTTAAGCATTTAACTGCTAGATGTTTAAATCTAAAGAAAAGTTTACTAGAATAAAATTCCACGCGGACCAGGCAGCGGACGGGACTCGAAGCCGTATCCTTCGCTATCCGGGCGAATGCACTGACCATTATGCTACCACGACCCTGTTAGCCACGTCAAAATTTTCCTAGCCTTAAGGTGCAAGGCAGCGCCATCTCTTTGCATTGTAGGTAACCCACAATGTCAAATGAATACTTTTTCAAGTATTAAACATTTGAAAGAAGAAATAACAATTATAGTTATGATTTTATTTATTTTTTAAGCATTTTACTGCTAGATGTTTAAATCTAAAGAAAATTTTACTAGAAAAAAGGTTACCTACAATGCGAAGAGATGGCGCTGCCTTGCAGCTTAAGGCTAGGAAAATTTCGACACGGCTAATAGGGCCGTGGTAGCATAATGGTCAGTGCATTCGCCCGGATAGCGAAGGATGCGGGTTCGAGTCCAGTCCGCTGCCTGGGCCGCGTGGATTTTTTTCTAGTAAACTTTTCTTTAGATTTAAACATCTAGCAGTTAAATGCTTAAAAAATAAATAAAATCATAACTATAATTGTTATTTCTGCTTTCAAATGTTTAATACTTGAAAAGTATTCATTTGACATTGTGGGTTACCTACAATGCGAAGAGATGGCGCTGCCTTGCAGCTTAAGGCTAGGAAAATTTCGACGCGGCTAATAGGGCCGTGGTAGCATAATGGTCAGTGCATTCGCCCGGATAGCGAAGGATGCGGATTCGAGTCCCGTCCGCTGCCTGGTCTACGTGGATTTTTTTCTAGTAAACTTTTCTTTAGATTTAAACATCTAGCAGTTAAATGCTTAAAAAATAAATAAAATCATAACTATAATTGTTATTTCTTCTTTCAAATGTTTAATACTTGAAAAAGTATACATTTGACATTTTGGGTTACCTACAATGCAAAGAGATGGCGCTGCCTTGCAGCTGAAGGCTAGGAAAATTTCGACGCGGCTAATAGGGCCGTGGTAGCATAATGGTCAGTGCATTCGCCCGGATAGCAAAGGATGCGGGTTCGAGTCCCGTCCGCTGCCTGGTCCGCGTGAATTTTTTTTCTAGTAAACTTTTCTTTAGATTTAAAATTAATATCTTTTTAAAATGAGAATTTAGATATAATTATAAATTACATGAAACAGCTGTTTGCACTGTAGATTTGATTGCATTAGATTTGTTTTTTGCAAGTCTCTTATGTTTCAGTACTGTTAATAAACTAACTCTAAATAATCAAGTGGCAAATAATTATTATCAGTGTTTTTGAGGATCTGGTCTTTAGAAAATTACTGACCGACTAACTACTTTCCCACTATAGGTATATAAATTATATGAATATAATAAAACACTCAGCTATACATCTTCTTCTTCATCTTGCTATGAGCGTTACCGCAACTTGATGTCCTTATGGTGCCTGTTTTGCGTGAGGAGGGTGTATGGCCGGAATCACTCCAGCCAGCCCAGCTCCGCCAGGAAGGCCCCCAGGGCCTTCACGTTGGTGACTGCCTCTTGCAGGTTCCTCGGTGAGCCGAGGTATTTCGCCCGGTATTCGGCTACTCTGTTGCATTCCAGCAGAACGTGGTAGCTGTTCCTTCTGCCTCCATGCATCCTCTGCATAGGGGGCTGTCCGTGACACCTATGTTGAAAAGATGTCTGGTAAAATGTGCATGTCCAGTAATAGCACCTGTTACCATGCGCAATAGGTTTGCTTAGCTGTAGGAGAGTTTTGGTTAACCCATGACAAAGCGAGCTTGGTCTGCCTGCACATCTCCAGATCGGATCCCTTCCGGGCCAGCTCATCCGCAGCGTCTTTTCCGCGTGATCCACTGTGACCCTTAATCCATTGGATGGTAATAGAATTGCTTGACCCTACCGTGTTTAAGGTTTGGTGGCATTCTTGTAGTAAGCTCGATTTGACTAAACAGGCATCTAGAGCTTGTAGGACTGATTTGCTGTCGGACAGTATTCGTATTTCCTGACCTGTTACCTTTCTTGAAAGGATCGCTCTTGCCGTCAGTGTGATGCCCATACATTCAGCTTGGAAAACTGTGCTATACGGGCTTAATGGAAAAGCGAGGTCCTCAGAGAAAACACCCGCGCCCGTGCCCGATGAGGTTTTAGAGTCGTCGGTGTAGATCATGAGAGCCTTGTGTCCTTTGGATCGTTGTCATCCAGTAGATGTATTCTGTACTTTTTGTCAAATATGAAGGCGGGTATTATTTTGTCACATGCCGCATCTATGAGCGGACTGTTTACCCATTCCTTCAGTATACCGTTGAGATACCTTGCTCTTTCGAACCTTACCAGACAAACTTTTGTAGTCTCAACGCTGTTTTAGCTGCTTCCTGTCTTATGTAGATATGGAGCGGTGTGATGTTTAAAATAACTTCCAGTGCTGCCTTTGGAGCCCTACTCATGCACCCGGTCACCGCACTGCATATCTGCCGCTGAAAGCTTTGTAGTTTGTTGACACAGGTAGTCTGGATAGATCTCGGCCACCATATGATGGCGCCATTGGCCATTGACCATTGGTCGTATGACTGTGTAATATAACCATAGGAACAGTTTTGGTGCAAGGTCCCAACGCTTCCCTAACATTGGACGGCCTTGCCAAAATGTTACGCTGGCTGTCTAGATTTTGTGTTCCACATGGTTACTCCAGTTTAGTATGCTGTCAATTATAAGGCCTAGATACTTTATCTCCTTCGACAGTTGTAGTGTGGTACCAAACAGCTTCGGCAAGTTGAAAGCACCTACGTCACGTTTGGTTGTAAACATTACCAGCTCTGTTTTAGTTGGATTAACTGTGAGGTCGTATTTCCTGCACCAGCATTCAACCAGTTTCAAAGCACCTTGCATGGTGTTACAGGTAATGCTGGCGTGGGTGCCTAGGGTAAGTATAGTAATGTCATCTGCATACCCTATGGTGTAGTGGTGGTTCGAGTTTAGCTTGGTCAGCAGGTCGTCAACTACGAGGTTCCACAGAAGTGGCGAAAGGACCCCTCCTTGCGGACATCCTCGTGCCACCACTGCTCCTCTGCTGTCCTCACCTTTTACCCGAACTATTCTATTGCGAAGCATGTTAACTGTCCAGTCAATGATTTGTTGCTCCACTCCGTATCTTCTGAGAGCAGACTCAATGCTGGTGAAGTTGGTCTTATCGAAAGCACCCTCTATATCGATGAAGGTTCCGAGGCAGATAAGTTTATTTTGAAGGGCTTCGTCTATCTTACCGACTAACTGATGGAGAGCCGATTCAGTAGATTTACCTGAACTGTAGAGCCATGTTGGTGTTTATGTAGTGGGGCATTGATTATTGCTCCACTGCGTAGCTATCTGTCGCATAGCCTTTCCATTGTCTTAAGTAAGAAGATTGTTAGGCTAATGGACCTGCCAGGACTGTATATTTTAGTTACTTTCATAGTATCTTATCATACGGCATTTTACTCTGGGGAACAGCAGCTGATATTGAAAGTATTTTCATTTTACAAAAAAGAGCTGTGAGATCTATTTATCAATTGAGTAGCCGAACATCTCTTAGAGAAAAATTTAAAGAAATTGGAATTTTGACTGTTGCTTCTCAATTCATTTACAATTGCATACTCCTCGTTAAAAATAATATCAATTTGTATACCAAACACAGTAACGTACACAATTTTAATACTAGGAATAGAAACAAGCTTGCATTGCCAGCCTACAGGTTACAGAAGCTTTACCGATCTTTTATGGGTCAAGGTATACATTTTTACAATAAAATTCCTGATGCTGTTCTTGAGTTACCCATAAATGAGTTCAAATGTCACATTAAAAGTTGTTTAGTTAAGAAAGGCTATTATACTATTAAAGAATACTTGAATGACAAAACTGCATGGCTGTAACTGCAAAATTGTTTTGTATTTGTTTGCAGTGTCGTACAGATAAATTACCTTAACTCTAAGTAACCATTTTGCAGATTGGTTTTAGTGGTTATGGGTAGTCATGCTCTCTTAAAAATCTCTTCGGCGGTGTCGTGTGAGGCGGGTCGTTGCGTTCCCTAAAATATGGTTGAGCGAAGCGATGGCTGGTTCATGCGTCATGCTCGTGAACGGGTGCTGCCAGCGGAGATGAGTCTGCTCTATACTACTTTATTATTGTAATGATAATTATTATTAAATTTTGATTGTATTTTACATTACACAACTTGTATTTATACTGTATGACACAGCAATCAAAATGTAAGTGAACATATATTATTTCTCTGATAAAGATTTAATGGTGGTGTGGATTCTGGTATGTTTTTCTAGACCTGAACTTGGTTTTGCAGTGGTGTATCCTTGTCATTCTCTATACAGACTGAAAGGGGGGGGACTGATGTTTGATTGGTTTTGGGTTGGGAGAGTATTGCCAGGGTCGACAACAGTGTTTAGGTAATCACATGCATGTGTCCTGCCGTTGTGTTTATAGTTTGTTATAATAATGTACACTGGTACCTATATGTATTTTTTTTCTATTTTAGTAACATAGTATCCATATGTGGTTATGAGTAGTCATGCTCTCTTAAAAATCTCTTCGGTGGTGTCGTGTGAGGCGGGTCGTTGCGTTCCCTAAAAAATCTTTGAGCGAAGCGATGGCTGGTTCATTCGTCATGCTCGTGAACGGGTGCTGCCAGCGGAGATGAGTCTGCTCTTAATTCACTGGGTACTACTATTAATCGTTGTTCTAAACTTTAATCGTTCATTATTATTATTTTCTTTTTGCCTAAACGGTAGGACACGTCATTCCTAAACTTTGTTAAACCATTTTTTTT